GTCACAGTTATCTGAAGTCTTACATATTAGCAAAGTTATACTGCTTAAATCAAATGCTAGTGAAATATTAGGAACAGAAAATAAAGGCATATTTACTTGTTTTATTCAGCAGATTAGCCATTTATTTATTGCAGCTATTTTGCCTTGCCACTAAAGTTTTTGCCATGAGGCATTTTGTATGTCTAGAAATTAAATCAAGTGTTAATATTTTTAAAGTAAACCATAAATGGGATGCTATCTAATGCACTAAACCTCTAATATAAGATGTATTTCTGTGTGTTTTGTAGATATTCTATTAAATAAATTCACTTGTTATTAATGTTTGTATTAGTTAATTCCAGTTTCTTTCTATTGCTTTTCGTTCCTATAGATTGCACAAAGATTCCTTGAATAAATCACAAGTTTATAAATTCAGTAAAAGAAAACTCCACACTTTCTCATTGCTACTATAGCTCCAGTGCTTAGCACACATTTCATTATTAAAAACTAAAACTCAGTAAATAACTGTTGATGAATAAATCATTTAACAAAATAAATATTGGGCCAAAGTTATAGTGTAGCAGTTTGGGTACTTATCTGACATACAGCTGACCATAGTGTGAACCCCAGCATGGTTTGAACCCCAGCCTGAGGACCACTAGGAATGATTCTTGTGCGCAATAATGTTTTTCAAAAATTTCAGGGATTTTTAAATATACTTTTTGAATTCTAAAACCAATGTGTGGGGTCCTTCTTATTCAGGACTATCAATTTGACAGGTAAGTCAAAAATACAGAAGATCTAGGTAGGTTCGTGCTGAGTCCATGCACGAACTCTATCCGATGCTGAGATCCACAGCCCTGCCCCACCACATCCCTATTCCGAGTGAAGGCTGAGGAGCTAAAGAAGCAGCAGACCCACTGAAGAAAAGAAGATGGGAAGGAAAGGTTCCAAGAGCAAGTTCCGGGGCTGGAGACATAGCACAGCATTTGCCCAGCATCTCATGTGCTCCCCGCGCCTGGCATCTGATATGGTCCCCTGAGCACCACGAGGAGCCATTCCTTAGTACAGAGACAGGATTCACTCCTGAGCAAGATATGTGTGTGTGTGTGTGTGTGTGTGTATCTGTAAAAAAAATGTATATTTCCCTCTAAGATTGTTTGCCTCCTTCTTTGAACTTTATCAAATGTGGTGCAGTAATATTGGAGAATGGATACGGTATGTGGTTTTCAGTATCGCCCAGCCACGAGGTCCAGGAAATATATTCACTCATAGGTGATGCTTGCCCTAGATTGTGGGGAGCAGCTGTGGGCATAGCGATGTCTGGGTTCTGGAGTATTTCAGCTGCTGGGGCTGGGTCCCTTGGGGCAGGGAGAGGTTTCACCCGCCTCCCTCCCTCCCTGACGCCCTGTGTGAAACAGCCTGAGGAGGGGTCCTGTGGCATGGTTATGGCAAGCATCATGTTGCGTTCCCTTCTGGGAGAGAAGTACATGGGATCTGGATGATGGCCAGTGAAGAGATTATCTGGCGCCAGACAAAGGCAGCTTTAGGGCGTGACTGCTGGGTCGCGGGAGATAGGGAGGTATGGCTGGATTATCTCCATTCCCCATTCTATTGAACCCAGTGTTCTCAGACACAAAGTCCCGCATACCTGTGTTTTTGAGGCTCTGCCTGAGCACGTGGGGAGTGGCCATGGCAATAGAAGCAATTGGGTTCTCAAAAAATATTTTTTGATTGAAGTGAAAAAGAGCGTTAAGTTTGTCTCAGAATTCACTTGTAAATCACTGAATTTCCTGTAAACCAGATTAGTTATAAACCTTTGCTTTTAAAAGCCATTCTAGGAAAATTTTAGATAATTATGCAATATATGGCAACATCAATGAAACTGAATATTTGCATCATTGTAGCAATAGTTAGCTTTTATGGAGTGTTTTCCATATGTCAGACACTAGGAATATCCTTACATCAACTCTTTATAATAAGAATTACTTTTTCTTTTCTTTTTGGTTCACACCTGGTGAGGCACAGGGGTTACTCATGGCTCAAGCACATAGGAATTACTCCTGGTGGTGCTCAGGGGAAAATATGGGATGCTGGGAATTGAACTCGGGGCGGCCATATGCAAGGCAAATGCCCTACCCACTGTACTATCACTCCAGCCCCAAGAATCACTTTTATATTATTATTTTACAGGTAGCAAAACTAAGGCTTGAGAAAATTAAAGTAAACCATTAGAGTAAAATGGTCAAGCTGGGATCTGAACCCAAACCTGTCCACTCCACTATTCCTTCTTTAATCAACATGCATTTTGAAAGTGGCTCTATATTCGAAAAGCATTTAAATGTTAGTTATGTGTGTTTTTCTCTTGGTACTTTTACTTATTCCACTCTTCTAGCCTGAAAAAGAATGTCAACATATGTCTTTGTTTTGGGCCACTCTTGGGGGTGCTCCGGGCTTATTCTTTGTGCTCAGAGGTAACTCCTGGGGGTACTCATGGGATTATTTATGGTTCCAGGGATTAAACTGGGGATTGACCACATGCAAGATAAAGGCTTTATCTCTTTTTCTGTTTTTCCTGGCTCCTCCATATAATATTTTTATTCTCACTTAGCAACCGATGTAGTAAAGTGGTATAGCCTAAATAATGTAATTAAGAGTACTCATGTAGTTAAAGAATCTGAATTAATCTCAGATTTTCCAGATTAGCAGTATGAACTTCCCCAAGTCATCCAGCCTGTTCAACTCTGTTTCTCAAATAAATACATTTGATAAATTATATAAATAATCTGGAATCTATCTTTGTTATCTTCTCTGTTACCTTCCCCTTAGAAACCATGGCCAAGGGCTTTGAGCAAGGATTCACTAAGCAGCTGATGGGAAGATACCCATTCTGAGTCATCAGTTGTAATTTACTACAAGCTACCGAGGGTAACTCTCCCGCATGGCAGAGCCTGGAAAGCTCCCTATGGCATATTCAATATGCCAAAAACAGGAACAACAAGTCTCACAATGGAGACGTTACTGGTGCCTGCTCGAGGAAATCAATCAACAACGAACAATGAACAACGGGAGGACAGTTATATATATATATGTATATATATATATACATATATATATCACTGAACAATGAACAACAGGAGGACAGTGATATATATATATATATATATATATATATATATATATTTGTAAAAAGCACACAAGGCTCAATCTTTAACATGATAGTTATCTCTTATACAATGGTCCCTGGGTGAAAATACAATAACCTCCACACTCTTTCCTCTGAGGATACTTTTTTGTAGCATTTTCATTCAAGGATTTGACCTTCCTTTCAGGTATTATTCTTTGGCTTATGACGGGCATCTAGTGAAGCTTTGGAGGAGGTGCTCTTTAATATTGGGCTTGTACAGCTCCTTGTGGTCTTTTGTTAGAATTGGAGTAGGCCAGTGGATTATTGTTGTATTGTAGTTGAGGTGGCCAGGAATTTTTCCACAGAATTAGGTGACGAAGGCTGGGATGAGAGTCAAGAGTGTTGGGAGTGGGAAATATAACTGCAGCCGCCCTGTACAAGGCCACGCCCACTTTGAGGGGCCACGCCCACTTTGAGGAGGCCACACCCCTTCCATGGTGGCCACGCCCCCAGCCAGTCCAGTTGCTAGTCCACAGACCTGTTGGGGAGGGGTAGCATTGACTAGTTGGGCTGGCCCTCTGTTCAGAAGTGGAGGCAGGTGCCCCTGGCCGGGGACAGACATAGAAAGATTGCATTCATCTGGGGTATATAAAGTAACAGAATAGGAGACTAACACCCAAGAATAGCTGAGATAAGTACCAGGAGGTTCACTCCCAGTAAAGGGTGTTGGGAGGATCCTCCCAGGAATAGAGATGCATGCTGAAAGTGGACTATAGACCGAACACAATTGCCACTCAATGCCTCTTTTGCAAACCACAACACCCAAAAGGAAAGAGAAAACAAAAGGGGTGGGGTGGGATGGGGGGAAGGGGGGGTGGGAGGGATACTGGGAACACTGGAAGTGGAGAATGGGCACTGGTGGAGGGATGGGTACTCAATCATTGCATAACTGAAGCCCAAGCACAAAAATTGGTATGTCTACAACTGTACCACATGGTGTTTCACTAATAAAATTTTCAAAATAAATAAATAAATAAATACATAAAATAAGAGTACAACAAGATTAAATAAGTATTTAGAATGTTGGACTCCCAAGTTAAGACATGATAAGGGTTTTAACCTACCTGTGAAAGATAGCAAAAAATAATCAACAAATTTTAGCACCCATTATTTTACCTAGTTAGGTAATAAAGCATAAAGTACCAAAGAGTGGGAAATAAGGTATTAAATTTTGACGTAGTGAGGAGAAAGGAAAAATTTCCCTAGAATGAATCTGTAGAGGTTCTTCTAATTTATCACAAAACTCCCTCCACTGTCTCCTCAACCTTTCTCTTAGCATGTCTTCAACTTTCCTATGCCTACTGTGTATGCCCTTGTAACATACATGGGCACACACATGCCCTCCTTCCATACATTCCTTGAGAACAAGGAATGTATCCTAACTATCCTATGCTCTTCAGTAGCTAGAAATATTGCTAACATAAAGAAGCTGTTCTCCAAAAGTGAGCTGTTTAAATAACATGTAAGGAGCTAAGAAAAACTTTCACTGGAGAGCTTTCAGCAGACTAAAAAAGCAAAAATTCATCAACTATTTGGAAAGAGAATGCTAAAGAAGGCTAAAAAGGGTAAGGCTCAGCTTCCCAAATTATTTTTCTTGTGTCATAATTGTATAAGTGTACAGGTGTAAGTATGAGGCTTCTAGGGCTTTCCAAATGCTAACCTCAGGTAGAATCTGAAAACAGACTTGATTCTGACATAGTCTTCCTCATTTCATATAACCATGGATAGCTCTTTAAAGAAACAAGTATTTGTACGGGACATAGAAAATTGAAATGGACATATTTCTAATTTCTTCTTAAGTCCTTTATCCCAATGATGTTGGGTAGTGTCTTACCGTTTCTCCTTTATCACCCTTCTGACCTGGTGAGCCTGGAGCTCCTGGCAGTCCTGCTTCTCCCTGAGCAAAAATGAATTTCTGTATTACCAAATGTTCTGTCACAATGAATTGAACTAAAGACAAAGAGTTTACGAATCTGAAGTAGACTATCGTAAGATAAAACTTTTCTTTCCAAGCTTCTGTGGTTCCTCCACTGGAATAAATTTGCTCAAGGGACTCACTGCTTCTCTTTCTTTTAAGCACCTGTTAGCATTATCTCCTCAATGACACCTTCCGTGGGCTGGAACATGTAGCTGCTTCTCTAGAACCCTGAAACTGCACTTGCCTTTCTTATGGAGCTGACTACACAATGTAGACTGGAAGAGACAATGTGAGGATCCTCTCAACTTTCAGCCCATCTATACTGCTAGTCATTCCCTAGTCAGAAGGTTGTGTAGTAATAGCATGAGTAGTAAGTTAAAAGACGTGCAGCTCAGGGACCTTCTGCTGAGGAAAATAAGGCAAGCTCTTAGTTCCTCTTTCCCTTCCTCAATACAAACACAGAGTAAAAGTATCAGGAGATCACTCAGCATTGTTAGGACTGGTCTTGTAACTACTATTAACCACAGAAGAGGCACAAAATAGGTCCATGGGCCATGTTTCTCAAAACAGGAACCTAATAATGAAGTAAAACAAAATTGTTGATCAATAAAAGAGTGTTTTTATATGTTCCCAATACAATTTGCAAAAGAGACAGAGTTGGATATTTGGGTATCCCAAGCCAAATAGTCTTCACATAAAGAAATACGACGTATTGGTGTATGTGTGGACATTGTTTCTTCAACTGAGAAGTCGCACAATACAGCCTGTCCAGGCTACATGTTAAGTTAGCAATACTTTCTGTTGTGTTGATAATTCCTCCCTTCATCTTTCTATTGATTTTCATTGACACTCTGAAAAGAAGGTCACTTTTCTCTTTTACTCAGAACTATCCGTGTAAAAATCTCACACATCTTATTACCAATATCCTTCTAATATGCCCACTGACAAAGTGGTTTAGTTACTTAATGTAAGTAGCACTGAAGGCGAAGACCAAGTGTACCAGGGCCATTCTGGTGCCCAGATCATATGTGTTTTAATGGGTATAAATTAAAACTTCCTTACCTTGTTTGAAATGCATTGGCACTGGTTTTCATATTCCTGCTTTGCTGGGAGATATGCAGTTATTTTACTAGCAATTGAGGGTACCAATGAAGAAGCAGTACTTCCAAAGTCATCCTGTTCCAGGCACTGAAAATCCAAAAGAGAAATGAAAATATTTTGACATTGCAAACACTGACTCAAACACCAAATTAAGGAAGACTAGGATCACTTGCAAGAACTTTGTCCTAATTAACCAAAAGTTGACACTAGTCAAACATTTATCACAGCTCTGTCCTTTGATTTGGTCCCCAGTTGCACTGAAAACTCTCTAGAAATGCATTAAAATACTGATTTTTTATGAAACATTCTGAGTGATGAGAAATTATGAAGTTATTAGAGGTAACTTTATGACAAGTACAGTACTACTAAGTATAATAATTGCATCACATAATAAAATAGTTTGTACAAATAACATCTCCATAAGTGTTTTGGAAAGAAAATTTAAAATAAAATCATGCAATTTAAACTTTTAAAACATTATTTACTTCAAAAAATAGTGATAAAGACATATAAAAGTAATTTTCAGAGTCAGAGTAGTAAAGCCTTGCATGCAGTCAACCCCAGTGGGATTACAGCACCACATATGATTCCCTAAGCACTTCCAGGAGTCCCTCCTGAGTACAGAACTAGGAAGAGTCCCTGAGAACCATCAGATGTGACCAACCACTTGCAAGTAATTATTTTTGTCTAAAATGGAATATGCTAAATCTGAGTATATCCCACTCAAATTCACTGTTAAGAAAGAAATCTCTTAAAAAAAAAAAAGAAAGAAATCTCTACTTTAACAAAAACGTAAAAAAAAAAATGTGGCAGGGCTCTACCAAACAGAGCTCGGGGTACTAGATCATCGCCAATAATTCTTGGTAAACCATGCCAGTGGTTCTCTTTAGAGCCTGAGAATGTGGTGGTACTCAGACTTAGGGTACCATAGACCACCAGAGCCACCAAGTGGTTCTTGGGGGCAGCAATGGGGTGGAAGGAAGGGGCAGATCCTGGGCTACACCTGGTGATACAGAAGCCATACAGTCCAGGAAATCAAATCCTTCTGCCCTAAATACTATCTAGCACCAGGTGATGAATTTTATACTCTTCAGTAATCTAAACAAGATAATCACTATGTACTAAAAATTGGATTACAAAAAATCTTTTGTAATGAAGTTTGTTTTTTTATAAAAATAAATGGAAGAATCTGAAGAGGAAAAACATCATCTACCACTTATCACTGTGTTTTCCAGCTCAATTATGCAAGTACATGTATTTGTCATTTCAAAGTTCTGAACTTACCAATTTAGGGGAATGGAGTCATACATAACATCCTACACAATAAATTAGATACACACGGGATAATGCTATTAGGATATAAAACTAAGATTATTACTCACTATTTGTTTCATTAGAATGAAACAAAATGATTACACAAACAATTCATATATTCCATATTATTTGATAAGATTTTCTAACCAGTTTCTGATTCATAGTTCCCAGTCAGATAACTAAGACCCAATTAGGGTTCACAATTGTGCTCTGGGTAGTTAATTCAGTAGAGTAGTTTGGAGATTTAAATGTCTTTTGAAAACACTTCTCAGACTTCATTATAAAACTGTCCACACTCTCCAAAAAGAGCCTGAAGGGAATATAAAATGTACAAGTAAGGACTCCTCCCCACATACAAACACTGGTTTTGATTTGACACATATTCAGTTAATTAGCTCTCAAATTTTTAATCACATTTCTCATTTATTTTCCACAAATGTTTCTAATTTTCTCCTTCTCTTCATATTTTCTCTTCATTCCTGATATAGTCATGAAATTAGATGCATCAGAAACAAAAAATCTAATTAATAGTATATACTTATATATATATAGAGAGAGACTATTTGAATAAATTTCACCTTTAAATATGCTATAAAATTAATAAAAACATGTCTGGATGAAATTCTAGAACAGAGCTATAATTTTAAATAAGTATACTAACATTTTTCTGAATTCAACCCATTTTTAAAAATAATAGTGTAAGAATGCACTCAAATGACTTTTAAATAATTATTTATATTTCAAGTAATACTTTCTAACTTCTAACATATGAAGTGCTTCTAATTCTTGTTATGCTTCTTTAGGGGAACGATAATGTTCCCCAATATAATTTTCAGTAGGGAAATAAGCACTTTATTATCTTTTCATACTTGGAAATCAATTCCTACCTAATCTTTACTTATTTTTAACTTTTTTCTCTTTTTCAGCTACATAGCCAAGAAACTTCAGAATCTATGGGTCAGCCTCACATGCTGGGTGAAAAGGCAGCTCAGATAGAGAAGGGACCACCAAGTAAAGGGTGCTTGGAGGTCCAGCTCAGGATGGCAGATGTATGTTGAAAGTAGACTATAGACAGAATGATGGCCTTTATTGCAAACCACAACACCCCAAAGGAGAGAGAGAGAGAGCAAAAGGGAATGCATCACACAATAAAATAGTTTGAACAATTTTTATTGTACACAGAGGCAGGGTGGGGGAATTGGGTGTGAGTGTTGGGAGGGATACTGGCATCACTGGTGGTGAAGAATGGGCACTAGTGGAAGGATGGGTACTCAATCACTGTATGACTGAAACATAAGCACGAAAGTTTGGAAGTCTGTAACTGTACCTCACTGTGATTCAATATAAAAAATGAAAAGGAAAAAAAGGAAATGGATTTTTAAAAAAAGTATCTATAGGTCAATGCACTTGGCAGCAGCTGTGGGAGGTGGGCATGGCTGTCAGGGCTTTCAGAAGAACAGGGACTTGGGAGGAGGCTACCTACCTGTACACTGAGAAGACCCCAGAGTTCTCAACCTGGGACCAGGCTGATTTTTGCTTTTTAAAACTAATTTCCAAGTAATCTTTTAGAAACACAATTAAAATGTTTCTTTTTAATGATGTATGAGGTCACTTCCTAGAATTATCAAACATTTGTATCAAAAATGAAATATCCTCAAAAGATTTTCCTCATAATTCAAGTTAGAAATGATTACCGTGTGATGGCACAGTAATGACTACTGGTTAAGAATATCATGTTTAGATAGAGCAAAACATCAGACTGCTACTTTTCAGACTGTGAAAACAATTCTTTTAAGAGTCCAAAATTATCTTTTGTGATATTTGTAGAGTTATACTTAACTGTCTTTTATTTTATTTGAAAGGAGGGCCATGAATTGGGTAGTATATATGCTTTATATATATAATCCAAGATATATGAACAAACATAAAATTTTGAATGATTTAGGAGTGCTTTTAATCAGTTGTCAATATTATTTATCAAAAACCAAAATAAACAATACAAGCTTATATTATTTTTTAATTTTTTGTTTCGTTTTGAGGGCTACACCTAGCAATCCTTGTGACTCCAGGTAGGGGACATGTAAGATAAGCATACTAGCTGTAGTACTATTTCTTCAGTACCTTAAGTTATTTTTTCAGTTATTGAATTACTAATGATAATTCTTAAAAATTGTCTATCCAAGGCCTATGCTATTAGTTAATATGTCATTAAGTCAAGAAATGATGTTTTGACTCTCTGTATGAACAAATCATAGGAATATAAGGATTTTTCAATCCCAATCTTCAAATCCTGGGAAAAACTGGAGGTTCAACTGCTAATTGTTAGTGAAGCAATCAACTGTGCCTAAGTATTAGAACATCCATAAAAATTTAAGTAAGTTTCAGTAAGCCTCAAGTTGGTTGAATATTTGGAGATTTGGGGAAAATGGCATACCTAGAGTAGCACTGCCACTGCTCTCCCATTGTTCATCGATTTGCTTGAGCGGGCACCAGTAATGTCTCCATTGTGAGACTTCTTGTTACTGTTTTTGGCATATCGAATTTGCCACAGAGAGCTTGCCAGGCTCTGCCATGTGGGCAGAATACTCTCAGTAGCTTGCAGAACTCTCTGAGAGGGACGGAGGAATCGAACCAGGTTGGCTGCATACAAGGCAAATGCCCTACCTTCTGTGCTATTGCTCTGGCCCTTTCATACCTAGAGTATAAAAGGAAAATCTATGCCTTCCTCTCACTTTCTTCCCCTAATACATCTTTTCTAATGTCTGGTGCTAAAATATATTTTGTAATAAATTAGTGCAATAGAAAATAAATAGATTTCTTCTATTCTATGTGCCACAATAATAAATTAGCTGAATCTAAGGAAGGGGTCTTGGGAACCTCTGATTTATAGTCAATTAGTTAGAAACTCAGATAGTAACCTGTATCTATAACTCTCATCTGAAGATAAGGATGCCTTAATCTGAGCAGTCTTGGGATATCTCTAGTTAAGGAATGTCAGGATTGCTTGTTGGTGTGGGGAACTCTTCACATGTACTCATACTGAAATTGATTCAAGAAATTTTCCAAATATAATAATATTTAGTGCTATAATACCTATAACTATTACAGTAGAAGTATACATATAGAAAGTACTCAATTTAGAATTTGATTTTTAATAGAAGTTAAATATAAGAAACTAATAGTTGTACAGTTAGGTTAGGGATATTAAGAATTAGAAGCTAAGAAATTAGTTTTATATTTTACTGGTGGCAGAAATAACAAAGTTCTTGAAAAAGAGATGAGTAGAGGGCATGAATGTACATTATTCATGTTTGTTAGTTCTGTTCCTTAGTTTAAGGTCTAGCAGAGAAACGTTTTGAATAATATTTAATGAAAGAAAGCAAGTTATTACACAAAGTAATTCAGTAAATTACTGATGGACTTGAGATGGGAAAGGCAGTGGGCATGATAATGCAACAATCTTTGAAGAAGGAAAGATGAGATTTGGTGGTAATGGGAGAAAAGAAAAATGTGAATGAAAACTATGAATGATCGCTGACAGATGAGAAGAGTCAAAGAAGTATAAGGAGTTATGATCCTAGATTTAAAACCCTTGCAACTGAAAAATAATGATGCTTCTGTCAAACATAATTTAGAGAAAAAGGCATAAATTCTCTTTTACTTATGGTGAGTCAAAATGAGTATAAAATTCAGGACAATACTCTGAGATTAAAATTGTGAAAAGAAAGTATGGGAAATAAGTAAAAGAGGTCTCCTTCTTAGATGAAACTATTATCCTAGTTGTAACAAAATTTACTCAGAACTGCCCTATATCTGGACTCTACAGACCTAGAAAACAAAAAAAGATAATTGGGGTTTTACACTCTTCACATGCCAAGGAAAACAACTTACCTTAGTCTCTGATATTTCACAACATGTCTCTTGAGCTACAAATCCTGGGTCACAGTAGATTTTAAGTTGGTGAAGCTCAATCTATTTTAAAATTAGCAATAAAACACATGATTAGTTTTTTAGAGAATTATATGTATGCACTTAAAACCTGTGGTAGTTTACATAGAATGAAAACCACTGGTACAAATTAAATTACTGATAGATATTTAATTTATGCTTCATTATTTAATGGACCATTTGAGAAAAGGTATCAGTTATTGAGAGAGATCTATATACAAATAAAATCATATAATGATGCAATTATAAGTTCTGGCTATATGTTTTAAACAACAAAAAGAAGCATTTAATAAAAGGCAGATGTAAGGCAAGCCAACAAAATTAAGACATTACAAAGTAAAAAATTCTGAAGTCAAGTCAAAGGAATAAGCACCTGACATAAAAGACATTTCCCGGGTCCTATTTGAAGCACAGAGAGAAATTCATGCTCTCAGTATGAAAAACATGGATTTTATCTAATACTTTCAATATTATAATGAATTAGAGCTGACTGGGACACAAACATTTTACTAAAATAATTGATTTGCTCCTTCTTCTATTTACTAGTTCATCACTTCACTTGATCACTTGACATCCCTTTACTCATAGATTTGCTCGAGCAGGCACCTGTAACGTCTCCATTCATCCCTGTCGTGTGCTAGTGTAGCCCAATGGCATCTGCTCGTTCTAGGAACAAGAAGAGCCTCAAACCAATCATTCAGGGTCTTGATGAAGTAGTCTGACCATTTTGTAGGTGGGCGGCCATGCGATCTTTTGACATCCTGTGGAATCCACTTGGTAACAGCTCTAGATCAGCGGTCGTCTCCAAATCGTATTACGTGTCCAGCCCATAAGATTTTTGGTGCCTTGGCAAATGAGACAACGTCCCTGATTCTTGACCGTCAACAGAGGTCAGAACTCCAATTCTTTCTCTCATATGAGTGAAGCGTGATACTCCAAGCTAGCTCTTTTGATTCCTCTTTGGGATACCCGAATAGCATTCTCATCCTGTTTTTGTGGGGCTCAGGTCTCTGCAGCATATGTTAATGTAGGAAGAACAGTAGAATAGAAGAGATGTGCCCAGAGCTGGAGGTTCTTCATCCTCTTAGCTATTTCTTTGATGCTCTTGAAGGTGTTCTAAGCCACTCTCTTCATCCTGCACAACTCAGGTGCCAGGTCATTCGTCATGTTGACTTCTTGACCCAGGTACACATAACTGTAGCATTCGGAGATGTTCATTCCAGTGAGAGTGAATAGAACATCAGGAACAAGACTGTTTCTCACAAACATTGTCTTCGTGAGATTCAGCTGAAGTCCTACATTTCCACACTCACTGTCGAAGTTGACCAGCATTTGTGCCACTTGCTAATGTTAGGTCTTATTAGAACACTGTCATCAACAAAGCGGAGGTGGTGTAGTTGCTGACCGTCTATCTTCGCTCCCGTTCCTTCCCATTCCAGTAGTTACATGATGTTCTCGAGGGTGGCACTGAAGAGTTTCGGTAAAATAGTATCACCTTGCCAAACCCCTCTCTTGACGTCAATGATCACTTCTTTGTAAAATGCTGAGATCCTGGTAGTGAATCCGTAATACAGCTCACGGAGGATCATGATGTATTGAGTTTGAATGCCCTGTTTGGCTAGAGCTTTGATGACCTCTTCCATCTCAAAAGAATCAAAGGCCTTCTTTAAATCAATGAATGTTAAACAGAGTGGCATCTTGAACTCCCGAGAAACCTCAATGAGCTTGGTTAATCACTTAATCACTTAACTTCCCGTTAGTTGTCGATTTGCTCGAGCGGGCGCCAGTAACGTCTCCATTTGTCCCTGTCGCGTGCTAGTGTAGCCCAATGGCATCTGTTCGCTCCGGGAACATGAAGGGCCTCAAACCGATCGTTCATGATCTTCAGGAAGAAGTCTGACCATCTGGTAGGTGGGCGGCCACGCGGTCTCTTGACATCCCGTGGAATCCAATCAGTAACAGCTCTAGTCCAACGGTCGTCTTTAAATCTCATTACGTGACCAGCCCATCTGATTTTCGACACCTTGGCAAATGAGACAGCATCCCTGATCCTTGATCGTCGACGGATGTCAGAACTCCGGATTCTTTCTCTCATTTGAGTGAAACGTGATATTCCAAGCATAGCTCTTTCTATTCTTCTTTGGGAGACCTGAATGGCGTTCTCATCTTGTTTGCGTAGGGCCCAGGTCTCTGAGGCATATGTTAATGCAGGAAGAACAGTGGAATCGAAGAGATGTGCCCGGAGCCGGAGGTTCTTCGTCCTCTTAGCTATTTCTTCGACGTTCTTGAAGGCGTTTCAAGCCGCTCTCTTCCTCCTGCGCAGCTCGGATGCCAGGTCATTTGTCATGTTGACCTCTCGACCTAGGTAGACATAGCTGTTGCATTCGGAGATGGTCGTTCCATTGAGAGCGAATGGGGCGTCAGGAACAAGGCTGTTTCTCATAAACATTGTCTTCGTAAGATTCAGCTGTAGTCCTACCTTTCCACACTCACGGTCAAAGTCGGCCAGCATTTGTGCCGCTTGGCTGATGTTTGGTGTTATTAAAACAATATCATCAGCAAAGCGGAGGTGGTGTAGGTGCCGACCATCTATCTTCACTCCCATTCCTTCCCATTCCAGTCGTCGCATGATGTTCTCGAGGGTAGCACTGAAGAGTTTCGGTGAAATGGTATCACCCTGCCGCACCCCTCTCTTGACATCAATGATCACTTCTTTGTAGAATGGTGAGATCCTGGTAGTGAATCCGCAATACAGCTCACGGAGGATCCTGATATATTGGGCTTGAATGCCCTGATTGGCTAGGGCTTCAATGACCGCTTCCGTCTCAACAGAATCAAAGGCCTTCTTTAAATCAATGAACGTTAAGCAGAGCGGCATCTTGAACTCCCGAGAAACCTCAATGAGCTTGGTTATTGTGTGGATATGGTCGATGGTGCTGAATCCTTTGCGGAACCCTGCTTGCTCGCATGGTTGTCCTTCATCTAATGTTCTGCCAATCCTATTCAGGATGACTCGAGTGAACAACTTGTAGATGACAGACAATAGGCAGATCGGGCGATAGTTGCCAATGTCATGGATGTCTCCCTTCTTGAACAGTAGTACGGTCCTGCTGGTTTTCCATTGGGACGGAACCTTGCATTCAGACAGGTAGCGAGTGAAGAGCCGAGCCAGTGTATTCTTCTATAAAGAAGACCACACCTTCTACAAGATCATTGTGGGTGATTTTAATGCCAAGATAGGACCGAGAAGATCAGCTGAAGAACTTCACATCGGGACCCATGGCCTAGAATGGAACGAACAGGGTGAGAGACTGTCAGAGTTCATCATGTCGACCAAGACCATCCATGGTAACTCACAGTTCCAGAAGGCAGAATCTAAACGGTGGACGATTCCACAACGAAATAGACCACATCATATTCAATCGACGGTTTTGCCTGACTGATGTCGCTGTTGTCCCAAAATTTCGAACGGGATCGGACCACCGTCTCCTTCGTGCAAAATTCTACTTCACAGAGCGGGGAGAAAGGGCTGCAAAGTTCAAAAAGAGAACTCCCAGAACGACCACCAACTGGGAACTCTTTGGTACTATTGCGGCAACATGGGAAGATGCCATTGTTGACAACATTGACGAGGAATACAATCGACTGGTTCAGCACCTCCATGAATGTGCGAGGAACGCCAAGAGAGAGATAGCCACAAAAAGTCGCCTATCTTCGAAAACTCTTGAGCTAATTCGCCAGCGTGGTTTGGCGCATGCCTCAGGCAACCGCAAGCTAACGTCCGAGCTTGGTTATCATGTGGATATGGTCGATCATGCTGAATCCTTTGCAGAACCCAGCTTGCTCGCATGGTTGTCCATCATCTAGTATTCTGCCAATCCTATTCAGGATGACTCGAGAGAACAGCATGTAGATGACACACAACAGGCAGATTGGGCAATAGTTGCCAATGTTGTAGACGTCTCCCTTATTATACAGTAGTACAGTCCTGCTTGTTTTCCATTGGGACAGAACCTTGCATTCAGACAGGTAGCATGTGAACAGCCGAGCTTGTGTATTGATAAATACTGATTGCAGGTTCTTCAGGTGTTCAGGTCTGACCTTGTCTGGGCCTTGTGCTGTTTGCTTCTTTACCGATGAAATATTGTGTCGGATTTTGAAAGGGGGAATGTTGGGAAAGACATATCGATCCTGCGGAATTTGGTATGTGGGTAGGTGGACGTGGCTGTCGAAGAGAACTGAGTAGAAGTCATGGATAGTCTTCTCCATTGCCCTTCTGGAAGATGTGATAGATCCATCAGGATGTTGGAGAGCAGTCATCTTGGTCTTTTAGTTGGTGAAGGACAGGCAGTAGTTGCGAATGCTTTTCCCTGCTTCTGATGCATCTGCCAGCACTGCTGCTCTGCTCTCTTTGAGGTCTTCCTTTATTGCTTCTCTGCATTGCTTTGTGAGCATGGAGCTTGTGGTTGCCTGAGGCTTGCGCCAAGCCACATTTGCAAATAAGCTCAAGAGTTTTCAAAGACAGGCGCTTTTTTTTTTGGCTATCTCTCTTTTGGTGCTCCTCACACAATCATGGAGGTGCTTAAGCAGCTGATCATATTCCTTGTCAATAACAGCATTTTCCCGTGTTGCCACAATAGTGCTAATGAGCTCCCAGTTGGTGGTCATTCTGGGAGTTCTCTTCTTAAACTTTGAAGCCCTTTCTCCCTGCTCCGTGAAGTTGAATTTTGCATGAAGGAGACAGTGGTTCAATCCCGTTTGGAATTTTGGCACAACTGCGATATCAATCAGGCAAGACTGTCGATTGAATATGATGTGGTCAATTTCATTGTGGAACCGTACACCAGGAGACTCCCATGTCCAACATTTAGAGTCAGCCTTCTGGAACTGTGAGTCACCATCGATGGTCTTGGTCGACATGATGAACTCAATCTGTCACCCTGTTCGTTCCATTCTAGGTCATGGGTCCCAATGTGGAGTTCATTGGCAGATCTTCTTGGTCCTATCTTGGCATTAAAATCACCGACAATGATCTTGTAGAAGGTGTGGTCTTCTTTACAGAACTTCTCCAGCTCCAGGTAGAACTTCTCAATTCCTCCTTCATCATCATTAGGGACTGTATCGAAAGCACAGCAGGTAGTATGTTTGCTTTGAATGCAGCTGACCCAGGTTCGATTTCCAGCATCCCATATGATCCCCCGAGCACCATCATGAGCAATTCCTGAGTGCATAAGCCAGAAATAACCCCTATACAATGCTGGATGTGACCCAAAATTCAAAATAGAAAACATAAATAAATAAAACTAAATCCAACACCAAAAAGTAAAATAAAAAAACAAAAAAAATCCCATGAAGGCAAAGGGAGGGAAGCTAACAAGCTATTCTGAGATTAACAAAATCATATTAACTCATGGAAACATATTAAGAACTCCAGGATCTAGAGTAAATAGTACAGCAGGTAGGGCTCTTGCCCTGCATGTGGGAAACCTAGGTTCAATCCCTGTTGCCCTATTTGGTCCCCTGAACCGATTAGGAGTTATCTCTGAGCACAAAGTAATGAATACACCCCAAAGCAATCCAAAAAAAGTATTAAGAACTCCAGATATCCTGTGGAGTTAAGAGCAGTCTATAATTTGCAGTCAATGGCAAGTCCTATGATGAAACACTATTCTTTAGCATTTTGTAAGGTTATTGAATTCAATTTCTAATTATAAAGTTTAAATAAACTTATGTTCTAATGGAGTACCAGGAAGTAACATACTCAGATGCAGGATGAAGAACAAAGGTTCCTATTAATTAAAGTGTTTTGTATGAAAAACTAATTTATCATCATAATTGTTAAAAAAAAAAGTAGACAATATTGGGTTTTGGAGCCATAGTACAGTGGGTAGGGGACTTGCCTTGTACGCAGCCCCAAAACAAAATGAAACAAAACAGCCAACAATAATTGAAATTATATTATGTGCATCCATTTTCTAAGAGTTTCTTATGAACCATTTTACTAAAGTGAATATAGGTTATCAATCTTTTATTGATTAGAACTTTATCAAACATTCATAACATCAAAACAACTTTCAGTCTAGTTTAATCATGCTTTTTTCTTCATTAGATACTTCAGAATCATCAACACAATCCTTTAGAAGAATGTTTAAGGTCAAGCCTATGCTAATTTTTCATATAGAATGAAGTTTTTTAAACAAGTCCTTCTATGAGTTATGAGAGAGAGCACAGGGGTTAAGACCTTTGCTGTGCACATAGCCATTCCAGGCACCACATATGTTCCTCTGTGTAACACTGGGAATGATCACTAAACATAGAGACAGGAGGAAGCCTGAGCACCACAGCCAAGGTGTGGTCCCCAAACAAGCAAAAATACTTGCATATCTGTTTTTATCATATCACTCTCAATAGCACATGGGAAATATAAATCAAATAATGGCTAACATTGAAATTTTTAATTAGACATTTTGAGTAAACATTAGTAACATTATAAAAGATTCTATAAATCACAGATCTTCTATGCAAAAGGCAAAGAATATTAACCCAGAGGCTGGAGAGAGAATACAGGGGCTAAGACACATGCCTGGCCCCTCCTGGTCCCCTGATCATTGCTGGTGCAGCCTCAGGGGTTCGAGATCTCTGCCAGGGTGACCTGGGTAATCCCCAGCACCCTGTCTTGGGCCCTCACATTGAATGGCCAGTCCAGTTGGATGTGAAGTTTCCAGGGGTGTTGTGGGACCTCCTTGAGTACCATAAACGGAGGTATTTTTCCCATGTTCACCCTGCAAATTAGTATACCTAGAAGTCTAGTAGAACCAAGTATCTTTATAAAGTAAACATGTGGCTTTATTTGTTTCATTTATTATTTCCCACAAATGCTGATTTAATCATATGCCTTTAATTTTATCCTCAAATGAACAAAGATTCCACATTAAACTATAAAACCACTGTCATACTAAAATTTTCACTAGGACACATCTGATATTCTTCAGCTTCAGACTGTGGGACCAATTCTCTTCTCAGTAAGAAGCTAATGATAAGACACAATGACTCAACCTATGGAGGGTGAGCTCTGAGCCTGGACCACACACATGCCCTTCCCTCTTTGCAATCCCTCTCTGCCCACATCATTTAGGCAATGACATTGCAGTCCCAGACTCCAGTACTTGAAGCAGGTGCTTCTGCCATTCCCCACTGATGCTGCTAAGAATTCCCGGACACCCATCTGCCTACCTGTCTTCTCTCCATCAACTATAGAAGTTCAAGTCTTTGGTATTCTCTGTATTTCCTTCCTTGCCTTTGAAGTGAACTTTCTGAAAGGTGTTTTTTTTTTTTTGGTTTTTGTAAGTACTGTTGCTATTACATTTAATTCTGTCATTATTTCTGACAGTCATCATTTACAGACATAGTCTTTAATCCTGTCATTGCATTTCAAGATCTTTGAGGGCAGATGAAGCAGTTCTGAGTTTTTTCCCGACTCTCTTATGCTTGATCTGGCCATGATAAAATATAAGAACTTACAAAGACTGACATGTACTCTTAGTCTACCCATTTACCAGGTACTATAATTGTATACAAACTGTACCAATATTATTTTGTAATTGAGGATAAAGACTCAGAAAAATTAACAGCTAAGAAGTTAAATTAGCTGATCATAGTTAAGCATATGAACTCAGATTTACAGCCTCATCTGTCTTATCCCCATGGCATTTCCATGATGCCATGATGATTTGGTTCCAGGACTAATGATAAGCAAAATGAGTTGTTTTGCTTATCATTATTGAGCCCTGGTTATGGCGTGTTCACTGTCTCTAAGAGAATACAGCTTTAAAATATATTATAGCCAATAACTATCTAATTCCTTCTGTAGAGGCTTTTATAGATAATTCACAGGCCACAGAGGGAGTTACACAGAATTGTGCATTTAAAATACAGTCAAATTGTTAATTGCCCTTGTTCACATAATTATTAGTTCCTATTGGTCACCTTCATTTATATTATTTTGTTTTTTCCATAATTCCACATAAAAGAAAATGTGCAGACATCAAATACAGATCTCCCAGTTTCTTTTTGTGCTGATTTGGAGCCATACTCTAGTGGTTCTCAGGACTAGCCCTGCTGTGTGCTTAGAGATGACTCCTGGCAGTGCTCATGGGACCATATGTGGTGCCTAGGATAAAACCTGGGTCAGCTGCATGCAAGGCAAGTACCCTACCTGCTATACTACAGCTCTACTCCTGAATATCTTACTTTTTAAGATAATTTGTCTTTTTCCTCGGGAAAATCAATAATAAATCTACATCATCTGAACATTAAATCTAATTTTAAAAGACCTTTTCACCTGAAGCATTTTCCTAGTCAGTTGTTCTCATCTACATGATCTACTGACACAATTAGAAGCTGTTTCAGTTCAATAAGACCTCAAAAAAAAACCAATTACAATCTTATGAAAAATAGTCTGGAACACAAAATAATTTCAATTCTGAGGATGAATAAATAGCCTATTGTTTTTGAATGAAAACACCAGATAATCTGGAACCATTTAATTTAAAGTTCATCTTTTTCCAGTCTTTGCTATTCAAAACATATGAACTTAAACCAAGCATACTTTCTGCATCATATTTTCAAATTTTACTAAATTTAATTTTTATAGCCTTATTTTTCAAATTCACAAGCTGGAGAAAATGGGTGAAAATAAAAGATAATATATGTGAAAAAAACAGTTGGAAATACATAGCTATCCTTCACACATTCATTGGCAAATTAATTTAAACAGTGTTGGGAAAGAAATGCGTTATGCAGTAATTAAAGAATGAACTTTTTAGCAAGATATTTTGTTTTAATTTAGCATCTTTCCAATTTTCCTCCACAACAAACAAAACCACTTACATCCACAGGCCTGCCATCTGAAGCGCGTGCTGCAATCACAGTCCTGCCACGAATGTCCACGCTATCTTTTACATCAGTGTGACGACTGGCAATTAAATTACAGTCCAGGTAGAGTGAAATGCTCCCAGACTGTATACCAAAGCCAAGTTTATGCCACTGACGATCAAACAGAGGACGAATTTCTCGATTTTTAAAAACGTAGTTCAACACATCTCCCTCAGTAGCTCGGAACATAAATTCCACCACCTTTTTTCCTCCATCAACCACTAGAGAAACCTGTGGAATGATAAAGTATCTTTAAAGGTTTTTAAATTCATGTTCAGATTCATTATTGAAACACAAAAAATAAAACTCAACAGACATGCTAGTATAACAGTGTAACTGAGGCACTTAGTAAAAGTTTAGGTGACACCAGTAGCCACGATTTTTGTTAACATAAAAACTACAAATTTCTTATTCTTGTGAATGTAGCATGTTCCTTTTTAGATATATTAGCAAAGAACATGCATGTGCATCTAGCTGTGTAAATATGTACAATGTATACACACTTATATATAATTATGAAAAATTTAAGAATTCAAATGTTTATAATTTGGAAACAAGTCCTCTTTTTAATCCTTTGATATGGTACAAAAAAACCCTAATATTTCATCTCAGTATCTTTTCATCACAAAATTGTGCACAATATGAGCTCGTTAGATGTCCAGTGAAAGGAGAAACATGTCACAAAAGTAGCACCACATAAAGTATCATGCCAATAATTTTGAGATACTTCCCTTTCTAAAATCTTCCCTTTCTAAATTACCTACACACATTTTGGCACTCTTTGTTCAAAACACGTGTCTTCCACAAATAACCCTAGATTCCTACTTCCCTGTGTCTGAGTTTGGATAGGTATTCTTTATATTCTCTCATGTTCCCACAAAATTCTATGCTTCCTCTGGGACTGGAGCAATAGAACAGTAGGTAGGGCATTTGCCTTGCATGCGGCTGACCCTGGTTCGACTCCCAGCATGACATATGGTTACCTGAGCACTGCCAGGAGTAATTCCTGAGTGCATTAGCCAAGAGTAACCCCCGTGGATCTCCGGGTGTGACCCAAAATGCAAAAAAGAATAAAATAAAATAAAATAAATAAATAACTCTATGCTTCCTCTACCATACTTGTCATGCTGTGATTATGCTCCTTTGCATTAATTTCCCAGGTCACATCTCCTGAGAACTTCTGCTCTGTAAAACTAAGCATTACATTTAAAAAAAAAAAAAACTTTACTGAAGTACTGTGATTTACAATACTGCTAATGATGGTTTCCTGCATACATCATTTCAACACCACACTATCAGAGGCCCAGTGCCCTCTACCGAGGTCTCATAGGTCTCCTCCTTTCCATGCCTCCTCCTGACTCTTAGTTCTATGGACCAACTCTCCAGTTCTATTGACTTTTGGCTATATTTTGCTCCCTTAAAAATCCCACAGAGGAGAGAGATCATTCCACATCTATCTCTTTCTAACTAACTTCATTCAGCATGACAATCTCTAGATCCATCATTTTAGTGGCAAATTGCATGATTTTGTTCGTTATTACAACTGCATAGTTAGGAATTACATTTTAAAAAAACCCGTCCTTGTATCTTAGTATCTAGCATGTGTCTAATACATTTTTATTGAATAAATCATATTTAATTTGCTTCACCAAGGATCATTTAATGAAACAATAAACATTTTAAAAGTAATATACATCAGAGTTATTAAGCGACAAAGAAGTTATTAGAGAGGTGGTACTGGTGTTAGTAAGTCAGCCATGAAGGAAGAGTATCTTGAAACAAAATCTGAAAGTTATTTTAACCACTATGCTTTCAAGTTACATAATAGTGATATCAATATGACCATTTTAACTATCAAAATATTCACATTTCCCTGCAGATGTTGATTTTAAAAGAGAATCTTCAGTCACTGACTCTACTCCAGAAGTCAAACACACAATTACAAGATTCATCTGATCTAACCAGACAAGTTAAAAAAAAAACTAAGGAGCATGGATTTCATATTTTCTTACCTGTGGCATATTCTGCTGATTTAAAACTTGCCAGAGAAACCACCGCTCTCTCTTGGCATTTCGTCGAACACGAAATGTGGCTGTTACAGCATATTCCTCAGGAAAGCCTTTAGGAAATATCTTCCTGTGGAGAAGAACAAAGAACTATTAAGGGAAAACTAAAGATGGTGCAGAGATACAATGTTCTGTGTAGAACATCTGAGCTAAATTCGTCTCACTGAATTCATAATACATTATAATTTTTCAAGTAATCTATCAAGTGGATATACATAAACAACCAAGTCTACATTACTGCATTAAGTTTCAGGAAACCATAACACCAAGAAATGTTTGGAGATACAGATATCTTCTGAAAAGGCATCATCCTTCTGTTGGCTCAGGATAAAAGCCCAAACCTTGTCCAGAGTCTATTCACCGGCAAGAATGATGCCCTGATAAGAAAGAGATCATTCAGAGACCACCCAAACTAAAAATTCTCCTCAGGCAACTCTCTAGCAAGAACTCTTTATCTGCATAAGAGCCCAAGCTGAAATATCTTGAGAAAACATCAACTTAAAATCACTCCCCAAAGTTGCTGGGGCACTCTATTTTAGAGTTGCTCACCCAGGTTGGGTGCTTAATTTCTCCTTTTTACTTTATAGCACTCTATTCTGGTGATGTCTGTGTCTTTCTTTCCAATGCACAATTTCTTTTACTTTGAGGTTTAAAAGAAACCCACATTGTTCTTAGAATGAATAGCCCCCATTAATAAAGCAATTTAGGCAGAATCTCCTGCCCCCGCGCCAGGATGTCTTCACAGGGGCCCCTCAGAGGAAGGCAGGTTGAATTTCCCTCCCCGCTCCAGAAAGAACCCCTGCAGCTGAAAATATCCAGAACCCAACCGTAGCCAGACTCAAGTCCTCTCCACATGCTTGGACTAGCCTCACACATGAAGGAATCGCCAGAGGAACCAAGGTATGCAGGACCTGTGGCTGAGATCTCCAAGTCTACTCAGATAGGGACTGGGCCTCCTCCATCCAGATCCCCAGTTTTCCAGTAGCTTGGCAATCACACCCACAAACTGCCCCCAGCGCCATGTAATCTCATCAATGACCAAGATCCAGACACTATAAAGCAAAGCTCCCCAAAGAGAGTGATGTAGTATTTCCTGGAGCATGTGGCCGCAAAGTGTGACCTCTTATACTCTAGCCCACTGGTGTACCTAAAGTAGCACACATTTCTTTGATTTTAACATACCTACTTTTATTCTATTATATATGGGCTTAAATGGCCCCAGAATTAAATACAACAATCGTCACACACTTCCCTCTTATTGTGTTAGTAAGGTGCTCACTTGTGAAGGTGGGTGTTTGAATATTATCTGTAATGAACTATTGTGAACTACTTGATGAATATAAAATGCATACAAATGACAAAAAGAAAAGCTAGTTAGCCACACTATCTTCTGAAATTCTTTTCTACAAGTAGAAACAAGAACCTAGGTGAAGATAGGGACTTCTTTTATGACAAAGAATATAATTCTCCCTCAGTTTAAGAACCACGGTCTACTGAAAACACAGGTGTCTGAGACCAAGGGAGTCTCAGGTACAGCTGGATAGATGCCTTATGAGCTGGCATGACCTTAGAGTCCAGGTCTTGCTGAAATGCACACAGACCACCAGTTCCTCCCCTTCCCAGCTATTTACCCCACCACCAACAATTACCTATGTTATTCCTATGTACTTATTCTGTGTGTCTTGCATTTTTTCACTTTCTATATGGTGGTATTAAAACTTGGCATATGGAAAAGTAAGGAGACTAAAATACTTTATGGTAATACATCCTTGCAAGAAGTACCAACAGAAAATAATATTGAGATAAATCACACTGACACACAGTAAAAAATATGTAACAACTAAATAATGCGCCTGGTTTAATTGGTAGACAGAAAAATTTCAAGAGCTCCTTATAACACGTAAATAAATTTTCCCAAAGAAATTTTACCAAACTACTAAAGATGCATTTCACCTTGTTATTTCTTAAAATAAATTTAAAACTGATACCAAATATAAGAGTGTTATTGTTCATTCCATCAAAATAAAATAAAATATTAAAAGTCTTCCTAAATTGCAGAAAGAAGCCAAGAAAACCTCCATATCTTTTTGCCTCAATCTTCGTTCAAAACACTGTTCTCACTGGAACCATGAAGAAGCTCAGGGGGAAAATTCACAAGGAACATGTCTTATATTTAGACATCCATTATAAAACAAAGATAAACACACTTTTTCAAGCTTACTTTTGTAAAGTTATCTTCATCACATACGAAAATGCTGTAAGGCAGAAATCTTTATTTTTAAAAAAAAATCAATAGGAAAAGGAGGTAAAATTTCTCTCAAGAACTAACACGGTGAATTTTTTTTTTAGCTTTTTGGGTCACACCCGGCGATGCACAGGGGTCACTCCTGGCTCTGCACTCAGAAATTACACCTGGCGGTGCTTAAGGGATCATATGCGATGCAGGGGACCAAACTTGGGTCGACCACATGCAAGACAAACGTCCTACCCACTGTATTATCACTCCAGCCCTGTGAGAATTTTTTTAGATAAAGAAAATACCATACATTGATATGGTAAACACTAATTTCGAATATTACACTCAAGCCTATATAAATTGATACCTGCCTACTGAATTTGATAATAAAACTCTCATGGAGAATTTTGAAATTTTATTTTATTTTTATTTTTCTATTTTTTTGCTACAGATAAGTCATATATGAGAGGAAAACCAGGAAAAATTATGGAAAAGCTGTTCCGGATTAAAGTTCTTATTTACTTGGTTAGAATATATGTTTAGGAACATATGATTATATATAGGTATATGTTATGTATATATAAATGCCTGTGTTTTAAACCAGTTTAATTGAGGTACTGTGATTTATGGTACTGTTAGTCATACCTCTCATGAACGCATCACTGGAACACCACACCTATCACCAGAGAGCTGCTTCCCTCCACCAATGCCCTAAAATCGCACCCCCTCCACAATCTCCTCCCCCCCTCCACCCGAACAATCCAAATTCCCCGTTCCTTCCACTCCAATTCCGTGTAAGCTCAGTTCTGCAGAAAAATCTACAGTTCTGATGATTTTTGCCATTTGATGTTTCCCTATTAGTTGTTGATCACTTGATAACTTGACATCCTGTTACTCATCGATTTGCTCGAGCAGGCACCAGTAATATCTCCAATAGTCTCTGTAGCATGTTAGTGTAGCCCAATGGCATCTACTCATTCTAGGAATACGAATTGCTTCAAACCAATCATTTAGGGTCTTTACAAAGAAGTTTAACCATCTCGTAGGTGGGAGGCCACGCGATCTTTTGACGTCCCATGGAATCCAGTCGGTAACGGCTCTAGTCCAGCAATCATCTCCAAATTTCATTACGTGTCCAGCCCATCTGATTTTTCATGCCTTGGCAAACGAGACAGCGTCCCCATTCTTGATCATCGATGGAAGTCAGAACTCCGGATTCTTTCTCTCATTTGAGTGAAGCGTGATACTCCAAGCATAGCTCTTTTGATTCCTATTTGGGAGACCTGAATGGCATTCTCATCCTGTTTTTGTAGGGCCCAGGTTTCTGGGGCGTATGTCAATGCAGGAAGAACAGTGGAAACAAAGAGATGTGCCCAGAGTTGGAGGTTCTTCATCTTCTTAGCTATTTCTTCGACGCTCTTGAAGGCGTTCCAAGCCACTCTCTTCCTCCTGTGCAACTTAGGTGCCAGGTCATTTGTCATGTTGAATTCTTGACCCAGATACACATAACTATTGCATTCGGAGATGTTTGTTCAGTTGAGAGCGAATGGAACATCAGGAATGAGACTGTTTCTCATAAACATTGTCTTTGTGAGATTCAGCTGGAGTCCGACATTTCCACACTCACGGTCGAAGTTGCCAGAATTTGTGCCGCTTGGCTGATGTTTGGTGTTATTAAAACAATGTCATCAGCAAAGCAGAGATGGTGTAGTTGCCAACCATCTCTATCTTCACTCCCATTCCTTCCCATTCTAGTCGTCTCATGACGTTCTCAAGGGTGGCACTGAAGAGTTTCAATGAAATGGTATGGCCCTTCAGAACCCCTCTCTTGACGTTAATGATCATTTCTTTGTAAAATGGTGAGATCCTGGTAGTGAATCCATAATACAGCTCACGGAGGATCCTGATTTATTAAATTTGAACACCCTGTTTGGTTAGGGCTTCGATGACTGCTTCCATATCAACAGAATCAAAGGTCTTTAAATCAATGAATGCTAGACAGAGTGGCATCTTGAACTCCTGAGAAACTTCAGTGAGCTTGGTTATCATGTGGATATGGTCGATCATGCTGAATCCTTTGCTGAACCCACTTCCTTCACATGGTTGTCCTTCATCTAGTGTTCTGCCAATCCTATTCAGGATGACTCGAGTGAACAGCTTGTAGACGACAGACAATAGGCAGATCGGGCTATAGTTGCCAATATCGTGGATGTCTCCCTGTTAGTTAGACCCCATTATACCCCACATATGAGAGATTTCATTATTTTTACTATTACTATTGCTACTATTATTATTGCAAAAAAAAAAGTAAAGGCCCTCCCGTTGATCATCGATTTGCTCGAGCGGGCCCAGTAACGTCTCCATTGGAGACTTTGTTGTTACTGTGTCTGGCATATCGAATACTCTCGGTAGCTTGCCGGGCTCTCCGAGAGGGGCGGAGGAATCGAACTCGGGTCAGCCATGTTGGCTGCGTGCAAGGCAAACGCCCTACCCGCTGTGCATTGTGAAAGTAGTAATATCTACACAGATACAAATGAATTAAGCTAAACTTCTGAAATCAAAGCTGTAAATCAAAGACAAGTTAATACATGTTTTTTCAAAATCTGATACATTTTTTCAAAAACTGTAGTATGAATAATTTTAATACTGATAGACTTTAAAATTTACTTGAAATATGTTAACTCCAAAAATGTATAATTTAGTATGAGTGAGGAAAATATAACTTTAAAAAGTTAAAAATAACTCTTAATTGGGGTCCCTGCATTTTTTCTTCTTCTTTGAGGATATAACAAATGAAAGACAACTGGTATTATTCCTTCTATATTTTTACATTC